TCAGAAAAATAAATAAAGAAAATGAACATAAGTCAGGTACGTCTTTGCTTTGAAATATTCTCAGCAGATACTTTAAGATCCTTAACGCGCATAGCAGCACCAGTTTATTCGTCCATTCGCAAACTGATCGTTTACATATATGTCGTTCAAGTACTACATCGGGTTCTGTAAATTGTGGAGAGGATATAATACTTTCCATAGAAAAGGTTACCAAAACAAACATTAAAGTGGTGTTCTACGAAATAAATTATGATGGTGAGCTTATTTGAGAAGCCTATGCAAAACTAAAGATAATAAGCGATAGTAATTGATTAGTGTCATGGGACACTGCAGATCGCTAGTGATAAGCGATATTACTTGTTTTTTCATAAAGGACAATGCAGTTCGCTACATGGGGGCGATGCTGATTGTTGGGTTAATATGGCTATGATATGAGATGCTGTGTTAACCAAGGGCATGAATTGTGGATTTATCAATTAATTTCACAGCGAGCACAGCGATCACGACATGGATTCTCGGAATCTACGGCATGCAAGCCAGTCACGACATAATTCTCGGAATCAATGGCGTACGAGTCAGTCAGGACATGCGTTCCGAAAAACCCAAAATCGACAACATGCTGAGGGTGAGTGAGTCTTTGTGCGACCTGCAAGCGAGCGAAAAGTCCGATCACGAATACAAATACACTAACAGTGAATTTGGATATGGAGACTTCAGTATAAATTACATATAACATTACTTAAGAGAACTTTATGAAATTTATTCAAACTCGAAATATATTGTATATTAGTGATCATTTAAAAGTCAATTAATTATAATAATAAAATAAACTTAATAAATCAATAATCTTTAAAGATTTGTTTTAATAGTACAGTAAAATACATATGGTGAAATATTAAAATAAATAAAAGTTGAAAAAAATATAAAACCAAAGCATCTATTTTGGTTACAAAATAAAATTAATGGTAACAATCCTGGTAGAGCTGAGGATAACAACGTGAATAACAACGTGCAGCGCGGAAAACTGTCGTTACAAACGACAAATGCCTCTCTTTATGCATTAGGGGCAGTATTGTTACAAAGAGAAATCAGAAGTGATAAGCCAATAGCTTTTGCTAGTAAAACTCTAAACAAGCATGAAATAAACAAGCCTGTAATAGAAAAAGAACTTCTCGCAATTCATTGGGGAATAATTTTTCGGACCATATTTATATGGAAGAAATTTCACGGCCTATACTGCTCATATACCACTAGTTAGTCTTTTCACACATAAGAATCTATCCTCAAAGCTAAAAAGGATTAGGATAGATTTAATGGATTACAATTTAACAATATATTCAAACAAGGGAAAATTAATACGAACGCAGATGCACTATTTAGGATTCAATTAGATTCAAAGCAAATAATTAACAAAAATAAATTAACCAGAACAATGAGTAAAAATATTGAATCAACAGGTTTCAGGAAACCGTAAAATTTTAGAACGCCTAATAGATTGTGTTTGCTTTTTGAGGACTCAAGAGCTTGCTTTTAAAGGCAATGATGAATCACAGAGTTTGAATAACAAAGGAAACTATAAATAGCTGCTAAACTTACTTGCTAAATATGATAATAAATTAGAACGTCATTTACTACTAACATCAAGCTACTACATTTACAGAAACATATAGCTCTATTTAAAAAGAATCAACAAATGCTGTAGCTTCTGTAATATATGTTTGTATAGATGAAGAAATCAAGAAATTATCATTCATTTCGGTAATGTTAGATGAAACTACAGATATGGGAAAAAATAACAACTTTCTCGTGTTTTTCGACATGTTAATTGCAATGGCTTATCAAGAGAGAGATTTTATAAATTCTGGGACTTAAGTTCAGATCGTTTAGCGACTGCTATGTCTAATAAAATAATTAATATTATTAAAACGAAGAATTGAGATGACAAAATTGTCGCGCAAACTTATGATGGTGCCGCAGTTATGGTAAATGATTTGAATGGTATTAGGTAGAATAATAGACCAAATCTTAATCAATAGAAACTGACGGGTCGTCGCTGCTAGATGTAAGACCCAAAAGGATAGCAGATATTGGAAGCGATCATTACTTTGTACGAACAAACTTTAGAAAAAAATTAACAGAACAGGGAAGGGGGCGTAGTGACTTCGACCTATAATACAACATACGTAGTTTTAACAGTCACATATGTATGTGTTATATCGTGTTGGATGTACTGTGGTTCAGTTCTGATCCGGTCGATTGTCGGAAGTGACAGGGTCTCATCAAACAAATTTTCTTGTGAGGACCTTGGCGATGGCTGTTTAAACCCTAGATTTAAACAAATCATAGAAAAAGGTTCATTACAAATATATAATGTAAACTCTTTGGCTATGTAAAAGATGCAATTAGTTACAGGCAACGAATAATAAATGAATATTTTATGTATTAAATAAAATAGAACAAGAACAAGAAAAATTACTACAATTCTATTTCAATATATTTTAAAACATACTTTGATTTCCTTTAGAATACTTCTTTATTAGTTAATTAGTTTGTTGGCAGACGGCATTTGGGCCACCTTTAGTTCAATAAGTAACAATACTTCAATGTGTAAATATTTTGTAATTTATTTATTAATAACATAAATTAACGTGTAAGATTAGTTTTAATATTGAAATATAATACTGTTTTTGAACTAAAATAAAAATACTACTACTACTACTACTATAGGTATAATGTAAACATGGAGATTAAAAATGTAGATTAACTTAATCTCGTTCTTTTAATCTCACAATGTAAACTTAGTATTTTGTTTTACTTCCTATATATATTTCGCTCTAATAAAGTATATGAAATTGAACGATCGTGCATTTTTCCTACGGATGATCAAACATATTGTAGATTCAAATTTTCGTTTAATCGCCGAAAATGAGTACGTAGAACTTACAGAAGAAGAGGTAAGTAGGAATATAAATACGAATCTTATTTTTTATAAGAATATGATTATTCATAATGGTATATCTTAAAATAAATTTTATTGGACCAAGATCGAAATAATTTTGGTGAATTAGAAAATTCAAATAACGAAAGTGCAACTGTTAACTCTGCTACTATACCCAATTGATGGGTTTAGAATTCAACTATTTGCATAACAGAAATCATAATTTTGAACCTTTGCTGGAATGTCCAATACAAGTGAACATGATACTGTATAGCAAGAATACCCTAATTATGATGGCGTTTATTTATATTATTATATTTAATAAAAATAATTGGCAATGGATTGAAAATATATTCAGATGATGATGTGATCATCATGGTGGATCCAGTTAAATATATAAGCGAAGAGGTAAGTAGTGTTTTCTTGGTGTGTTAAAAATTTGTGCTGGTATGTTAAAAATTTGTGTTATATTCTTTTTAATTAAACGAAATGATATGACAACTCATTTCGTATATATATATTTGCTTTCCACATATATATATGCTTTCCACACACTTATATACATATTTTTTTGTATTTTCAAAGTACGTTCTCATTAAGAACCTTTGCATACAATAAAGGCTTAACAATAAGAAAATTGCATACCAATAATAACTGATAGCTATCGTCTTAAAAATTGTTTTTTAGATCAAATCTTTAAGAGTGTTTAGTAAAGTTAGGATTATGGGTTTTTGTAACCAATAACATGCCCTTTGTAACAGAGTATCGTATTTATATATATATAGATATATATCATCTTATGCTAATTGTAAAGTTTTATTTAATTTTATTTATTTTATTTTTTTGTATTATTTTGTATATTATTTTAATTTCTTTTCTATTTAAATTAATTTATACACTTTAATTTCTAATTTTCTAATTTCATTTGGTTATCATTATTTAATTCTCTTCTGATGCAATTTCTTATTATTATTTTTCTTATTATTTCATACGCTCTAATTTGATTATTATTTTTATCTCCTTTTTTAAATTAAATTTATTTTGTAAAGTTAAACTTAATATCTTTTTCCTATGTCAAGGTTAATGGTTTTCATCTCATACTTAATAAATTAAGTATTAATTTGCTACAGATTTAGGGTTTTGTTAAAGGGGTATTACATACTATAGAAATCCATCCAAAGTTAACTCTTTGTGTAAGTTATGTATTTAAAAACGCAATATGAAATATTGCGCCAGAAACAGTCTAACAGCTGTTTTCTAAAGACTTTGTTTAGACCATATCTTATTAAGAGGGGTTTAAACATATGTAAGGGTAACAATGTCTGAACCCAAAACATAAAAAATTGATATGGGCGTCAAATTCTAGAAGGGGTTGTGTGCTAGCAACCACCGGCAATAACATCTGACAAAATTTTCGTAGTACATATGCAAAAAATGAATTCCACAAGCAGTTGTAATTAAGACGAACAAGGAAGCAGAAGTAAAATAACAAGAGCAGCGATTATCTAATGAAAATTGTGGCAGGATAAATTAAATTCATTGTTTAGTATTGTAATTCAGTATTCAAAAAACATGAATTACAACAAACAAATAATGAAGATATTATGGAAGAAGCACTTTAACTGAAGTTGGTTCAAGTGCCAAATTCGACATTTGCAATAGGAACTGGTTCAAGTGCCGGATTCCTAATTGTAAGCAACACTGAATCGTTTCAAATATCGATTCAGATTCAGTTTTATTGAACAATATTTGTATAAGACACCAAATTATATAATAAATTTTTGATCATATAGATAAGATTACGTAGTATAAGTACCATGTGAATAAGAAAATAATTCTTAGGACATAAACGACCAACAGATCGCATTATTTATCTGCATTATTAATTCTTTTACAATATTTAAATATGGAATATTAATTCATATTATTAAAAATAAATATATATATTAATCATGTTGAGCGAAAATGTAAGCATATCAGAATATATCAGATTTGTGATGAAAAATTGAACTGTTATCAAAAGAAATATATAACGACTGATAGGTATTATTTCTTTCACTATGAAATAAATTTATATAAATATGATAAATTTATATTGTGTATAATATTCAATTTGATATTCGATTGGAGTTTAAAACTTATGATCTAAATTACCTTAAATTGATAATGTTTGTAAATATATTTTTTTGTTATGAATTTTGTTCTGCTTTTGTGTACCCATATTTGACATTGCCTCCAAGATTCCAGAGGATCAAACATTTTATTTTCACTGTTTGCCTCCAAAATAATGTGGAAATTTGTTAACCATCGGTTATTGGATTGAAGGTTCGTTGCGATGATGTTATTTCTTATTTGGATCAAAAATAGTATCTGCTGTTGCTACTGTTGATTGCATATTGTGGAAAGACTACTGGAAACTTGTATATAGTTCGAGTTCTCCTAATCTCGTAGCTTTGTTAATTACTTCACACATATACATTTCATTTCGAACAAACCATTAAATGGTTTTAAAAATCGACTTTGTGACATTGCCATTATTAACATCATCCTCGTTGGACCAGCATATCTATTTATAAAATGTGTATAATCTTTATAAAATAATGCTACTCTTATATTTATTGCTTAAGCAAATATTTCTTACAATTTCAATATTTTGTTGGTGTTTTTGTTTTAATGCAGGGTGTAGTAACGCCAGCTTCCATACAGTTGGATTTTGTTACTGTATTGGAATTTGTTGCTTACTAAGTTTAATTAGTGCTCAATAGTGGTTCGTTATAATTATTTAATCTCGATCATTAGCCTGCATTTCCTACTCCTACCCGCGTGGTGTATCCGCATTAGCGTCATCTCTACTAACACAATTAATTATTAATTTGGATATGCAATGTTATTTTAATTTAAAATTTTACTTACATCAATAACAGCGATTCAATTTGAAAGCAACTTTTACTTGCACTGCTTTTCAAAACGCCATTGATAAATACTTTGCATTCGCGTTAATGATTCACACGACGCACTTGGAACATGGAAGTACCGTTTGATCAGAACTACTTGGTACTGAAGGCTTGTAGTTCTCAAATATTTTTAATTTCATGGAAGTACCGTTTGATCAGAACTACTTGGTACTGAAGGCTTGTAGTTCTCAAATTTTTTTAATTTCATGGAAGTACAGTTTGACCAGAATTACTTAATTTTTAATTAATTTTTTTACTGGAGGCTTGTAGATCTCAAATTTTTTTAATTTCATGGAAGTACCGTTTGATCAGAATTACTTGGTACTGAAGGTTTGTAGTTCTCAAATTTTTTTAATTTCATGGAAGTACCGTTTGATCAGAATTGTTTTGCGCGTCAGTTTCTTAGTTGTTGTTGTTATTTTAATAAATATGGTTGATATCGGCATCATACTTTTTTAGTCATTTTAATGCACGCTTTTGAATTGTGTTTTCTTTTTAAACAAATATTTAAAACTTCACTAACAACTTTTGCAAAAATAGACTTTTCTGGAGCCGCATAAAAATCAAATTAGTACTCCGACCGCCTTCACTGCTACAAAACCAAACGTCAAATGCAAGAATGCAAATTCCCACCAAAACGAATTGCCACATGGTGCCATGTCGAATATTAATTTGATGTTTAAAATACCCTGTCTCCCCCGACAAACATGCTGGGCAACTAGATTTTGTATTTGCGTAATACATTTTATCGACAGTCGGGGAATATTTCGATTTATATAAAAGAATAAAAAAGGGTAGCATTAGTTAGTTTGAATATAAATTCATTTAATTTTTATTAAAAACTATTTTTAACGACAATTTTTACGAAATAAACTGAAGTCTTAATATAAACAACCAGTTTTCTATGGAAAGGTATTTTTGTAGAGTAGTAAAACACATATATTAAATTTTATCAGATACCGTAACAGAAATTATACAAAATTAAAAATTACCTTATAATTCTTATTACTCGCATTTTAAAATAGAAGTAAAAACATAATAATTAAATATGCTTTATATTATATTCATCAAAAATAATGATTATTTGCTTTTTATTTTTCACGCAGACGCACATAAATAAGAGTTATGTATGATTCTTATATTTAAAATGCACAAATAACAGTTTTAAAAAGTTTTAAAATAGAAATCAAAATTGTTAGAATTATTTCTGCGTTTTAAAATAAGAAACAGAATGTAAGAAGACCTTTTCTTTTGTAAGCATATCACAAAAGAACAACTGCTTATTTTAAAAATAACATATGAAACAACAACAATGCTGGCTTATTTATTAAGTGTACCAGTATGAAGTGAGCGTAAAGATACAAATGTTCCGACAGGGAACATTTGTTGTGAACGAGCCATTTTTTTTTTTTTTGCTATGACATGTGTGAAATATATTTAGTATACATCAAGTCATTGAACAGACAACATCATATTTTTTCATAGTGTTAAAAATGTCGAATTTTGTACCAGAAAGTGATGATTTGCGGAAAGCATTAATTTTTTGTTTTCATTTGAAGAAAAGTGGTGCAGAGTCGCATCGAATGCTTGTCGATGCATGTGGTGATCATGCTCTATCAGAAGCAACATGCAAAAGATGGTTTCAACGATTCAGAAATAATGATTTTGATGTGAGAAATGAAGAACGTGGAAGACCGCCAAAAAAGTTTGAAGACGCGAATTGCAAACGATATTGGATGGAGATGACACTTTGGGTCAAAGGCAAATGGCAGAAATGTTAAATGTTGCACAACAAACAATTTCTGACCGTTTAAAAGCTATGGGAACGATCCAAAAGTGTGGAAAATGGGTGCCAC